GTGAAACGTTTCTGTTTACGAACACCCAGTGATGCATTGGTGTTTTATTGTCTTAGTAAATTCGTACTTTTTTGCAAAACTCAAGAGAGAGAGAGAGAGAGAGAGAGAAAATAACGTCGACCAATCTCACTAATTTATTGGTTTCAATTTACCCCCCAGCCCCCAATCGACCCCCTGCTTTTATATATCCAGCTGGGTTGATATTTTTAACAGAACTTTTTAAACTTGCCAAGTTTTCCGCAGTAAAATATATAATCCTTGATGTCAGTTTCCCATAAATTTGAATAGATTTTTCTCCTCGTTAAAATATAGTAATTATTCTTTTATATGAGGGATTTTAAATGATGTGATCAAGGTGAAAAAAAAATTCTCCAATCAAACTTTAAGAAAGTATGATCAAAAAAAATTTTTTTTCCCAAAAATGCATTTTACCAATCAAAAGGACGTCAAAAAAAGTTACCGAAACTGATATTGAAAGAAAAAAATTTATTTCATTATTTAATTGACAAAATTATCTATAAAAAAAATTTATTTGATTCAAATACTCGATTATACATGACTAGGGTCAGTCGGGGTAAATCCGAACGGGGGGTAAATCCGAACGCTAATTATTTCAGCTTAATTAAAATTTTTAAAAATAAGTTCGATATGAGAATTTTTACCTCAGATCCTCTTGAAGAGATTCTAAGTATTATCCCATTTTTTGTTTGTTAATTAGCAACAGCATAAACAAAGATAACGAGTATTGCAAAAAAGATTGAAAATCAAAGATGACACTCTTTCAGTATTTTGTCTCGTATTTGAAGAAAAAGAAGCTAAAAATTCATTTTATTATTTATAATTGTTTGTTATGAATACTAGAACAGAAACTATATTTGATTTTTGCCTTCTGTCAAATTTTATTAATAATATCAGACCGTTCGTATTTACCCAAAAAAATTGGAAAACTGGGGTAAATCCGAACGGTATTTTTAATAATTTTTTTTTACTTCAAAGCCACACAAAATTGTTTTTATTTGATTACACTATTATTTTAACATTATAAAAGTACATAGAAAAAAGTTTTTCTTTCTATACGTATCCTCGTTAGTAATTAATAAGCAGAAACTTAATCTCTGTTCTCTCGAAGGAGTGTTTCAATTTTTTTGCCAAATGGTTTGTTGAAAAAAGTTTTTCAGGATCTTAATAAAATTTGGTATTCTACGGTTTTTGGGGTCGCTAATTACCAATTTGAAGTCAGTTTTTCAAAATTCAAAATGGCGGACGAGAATTAAAAAATTCATTGGATTCGCTCGAAAATTGTTACTCGGGGGGTTTCAGGGTTAGCAAATTTGGTCATTTTTAAAAATAAGTTTTAGGAAAGTTCGCCATTTTGAATTTAAAAAATTTCACTTTTATTTTTGTATTTACATTCAATCACTCCAAAATACTTTCTGTACCAAGTTTTGCAAAAATCCGTTATGATTTGATAAAGTTATTGAAGGTTTTAATTGTGTAATGCATTTTAATTTTTAACCTGTTTGATTTTTGTATTTATATATGATGCATTATTACATAATAGGTTTATTATCGTATTTTTTTTGAGTTTTTATATAAGTTTAACAATTGCAATACTTTAAATTTATTTTCCCTAAGATTTTTCTGAAATACAGTGGCGTTCGTATTTACCCCCATATTTTAGGAAAGTTGCAAAGTATCGAGGTAAATACGAACGCTAAGTTTCCTGCGATTGTAATTTATCAAAAATTTTTTCTACCCCATAAAATTGTTCTATGGAAGTAAAGTAACAACTTCATGCACCAGAATACCGGAAGTATTTTTTTTTTAAAGAAAAAACTTATGTTATTGTTGAAACTTACTAAAAGCGTTCGGATTTACCCCAGTTGACCCTATTATCAAATAAATATTTATTTTTATCAAATAATTATTATTTGAATCAATTAAATGGTTTTTGTTTCAAATACAGAAATTATTGATTTAAGTACATACAATTTATTAAATTCAAATAAAAATTATTTGGTTCAAGTAAATATTTATTTGGTAAAAGTCAAGAAATCGATAAATCAAATAAATTTTTTTTTTAGTGTAATCAAGAGCGTGTTTAAAAAGAAAAGGTTTTTTATTTTTCATCACTTCACGTGAATTTCCCCATATATATTATTTTATAATAAAATAAAATTTATTAAAATAAAGTGAATAATATTAGTTTTTTAAATTTTATTTATTCCGAAACGATTCTTTTATAGGTATTTCATTTTTTTTAAACAATAAACAATAATTAAAAAATAAACAATAAAAAATATCAAATATTAACAAAAATAACAAAAAAAAGTTTTTAAAAAAAATAACAAATAAGTATAAAAATAATAAATAAACAACAAACAAATTTAGGAATTAATTTTAACTCTATTCAATTTTCTCCCTTTTGATTCAATTTAGCGAAATTGAAATTACAGGTAAGTAAAATAAAAATGTTTTCAAAAAAAAATTGTTAAAGTTGTAGAAAATATAATTATTTTTTTAAAATTAAAAAACCTAATTTTGAATAAAATATTATTAGTTATTTTGTTATTTACTTTTTTGTAGACATATAAAAACTTACTCTGAGAAAAATGTTTAGTCAGAGCAACCAAAAATTTGTTGGTATTTAAGCAACCAAACTATTTGTTTGAGTCAACCAAAAAATTTGGTTCAGTGTTTTTTGTTGGCATAACAAAAATGTTTGGTTAGCTCAACCAAACAGTTTTTTTTTTGTAAAATTAAAAATTTTATTCTACCTTATCTATTTTCTTTTTATCTTTTTTATTCATTTCATTATTTATTTATTATCAATTTAACATTGAATTTATACAGGGTGTCCTATTTTAATCTATCAGGCGAAATAACTTTTAATCAGTTGATTTTACAAAAAAATGTTTTAGACAAAAGTTATTGTGCTCAGAGGGGGAGATTTAGTGGTAAACTTGAATTTGACCTAAATGACCTAATTTAGGTCATTTTAAGGTCAACTCATTTTTTTTATATGGAACCACCTACTTTTTATGCCGGAAATCGATAAAGCAGGAAATTCCACGTCGAAATCGTTGATGCACTTTTTTTCGATAGACCGACCTATTTAGGACAAATAGGTCATTTAATTATTATTGTATTTGGGGAAATAACTTTAAACTAATTAATTTTACAAAAACATGTTTCAGTCAAAATTTGTTGTGCTTAAAGGGGAATATTCAGTGATGACCTTAAATTTGTCCTAAATGACCTGAATTAGGTCATTTCAATTTCAACTCATTTTTTTTTATGGAACCATCTACTCTTCATGTTACAAATCGGAAGAGCAGGAAATTCCACGTTAAAATCGTCCAAGTACTTTTTTCGACAGGTCGACCTATTCAGGTCAAATAGGTCATAATTAATTTCACCTACAAGGCCTTGGTTAGATCTAGTCTATGTCAAATAATTTTTCATGAAGAAAGATCAAGTTTTTATGCAAGGAATCGTCAGGGCAAGAATTTTTATGTAAAAAACACTAGACCCAAACAAGGCCTTGTAGGTGAAATTAATTATGACCTATTTGACCTGAATAGGTCGACCTGTCGAAAAAAGTACTTGGACGATTTCAACGTGGAATTTTCTGCTCTTCCGATTTGTAACATGAAAAGTAGATGGTTCCATAAAAAAAAATGAGTTGAAATTGAAATGACCTAATTCAAGTCATTTAGGACAAATTTAGGGTCATCACTGAATATTCCCCTTTAAGCAGAACAACTTTTGACTGAAACATGTCTTTGTAAAATTAATTAGTTTAAAGTTATTTCCCCAAATACAATAATAAATAAATGACCTATTTGTCCTAAATAGGTCGATCTATCGAAAAAAAATCTATCGACCAAACTATTTTGTTGTGTTAACCAAATTGTTTTGTCGTAACCGAATTTTGGTTGGAATTTAAAAATGTTCAACCAAATAATTTTTTTGACCTAACCAAATGTTTGGTTGAGATAACTCTACGACTTTGTTTCATCCAACCAAAATTTGGTTACAAGAACCAAAATTGCCTATAATCAAAGAATTTTGTTGCAAACACTAAATTTTTTTTTCTCAGTGTAGTAAAATGTTAATCGCAATAAAAAATTAAATTTTTTTACAAAAACCAATTTTTTTCCTTGAATTATTTTTATAGCGTCTAAAATATTAATAAAAAAATATAAAAAAAATTATTTTGGAAAATGTTAGAATTTTTACTTTTGAAAAGTTAATTTAAAAAAAAATCAATACAATTGATTTGTTTTTGAAAAAAATGAAAAAAAATTATCTTATTTAAAGTCCATTTTAGATTAAGAGAGAAGTTGAAAAAATTTTGAGTTCTATTAAAAAATTAATTAAATTTTTTTTTTTTTTATTTATATATCAATTATAATTAATAATAATCAAAAATATTATTATTAAAATTGTGATATTTTTTATTAAATTAAAAAACAATTTTGCAAGCTTATTGTGATATGCTTTTGTATTTATTAATAAAAATTAATCAACAATCTTACGCTTAGGCAATTTGTTTCCATATGTACATATATATATATATAGTGCTAAATTAAATCACTGATATTAATAGATTGGAACATGTAGAGACACCTTTTGGCTAAAATTTTGAAGCAGCTTATTGATTAATTAGAAATTGACATTCAATATCTCAATATTAATTGATAAAAAAAAAGTCAATTCTATTTATTTAAAATGTGAATTGTAAAAAAAAAATTGTTTCGAAATTAACCGTTGTGTAATTTGAATTTACAATTTTTACCGCCTGTAATAGATATTTATATTTGAAAAAAAATATCAAAAATTGAATAATAATTATATGAAAATATTTTTTTTAACTATAATTCTTAAATTGATTTTAATTATGTACGGCAATTTGGATTAATTTTTTTTTTATTCAATAAAAAGCGATAAGTTGTTGTTTTGATGATACAACGTAAATAGAAGTGTCTTTGACTCGAGTGGTAGATGGAAAATCAAAGATGGCGGAAACGTCATTAGCAGTGGCACGACATTATGTCGTCTCCTGTTATTTTTAGTTTTAATACATATTTTTATATGTTTCATTTATCAAAAAATCGACGTATGTTGTAGAATAAAGCATTAGATATAAAGTGATAGTGTTGTCAGCACATGCAATATAAAAATAAAAGAAAAAAATGTCACGAACGCGTGTTATTTTAATGTCATGCGGTAGTTATGATCCTCCAACTAACATGCATTTACGAATGTTTGGTATGTATAAATTGTATTTTTTTAAATTAAAATACCTTTTAATTTAAGTGTATTTAAAAAAATTTTAATAGATTTTTTAAATTAGTTTTTTTATTTTTATTATCATTTTGAATTGGTATTACTACGTCAATATACATATTGCTTTATAAGGTTGATGTCATTTCTTTTTATAAACATTTACAAATATATCAGTATTTAGATATATATAGTAATTATATTGACACATTGTTAAAATGCAATTTAATTTTATTGAAACTTAATTGAATTTTTTTTTTTTTTTCGATAAAAACTAGTGATGTTTGAGGTTATATATACAATGTACGATAATAATTTAAATTTAATGAAATTCTTTTTATATTCAAAACGTGTTTTTATTCTTATAAGATTTTAAGATTTAAAGGATAAGTGTGGAGAAGAACGTGATTCGCATTTTAAGAAGTTTAAAATTTTATGAGAAAGTGCATCATGCAATTTTAATCAGGTGTCTAAGGCGCATTTCTGATAAAACTAGGTCACTGAGACTATTTCTTAAATAATATAATGTTATCTCTTCATTTGTCTGACCTAAAGCTGCAAAACCCTATTTTAAATACAAATGCCTTTTTTTAGACGAACTGGATTTATAACAAAATTTTTTGTTTGCAACTTCACAGAAGATAAAGAATCACTTATTTTTTTTGTGAGATACGTTTTCTGTAATAAATGATTAAATAAAAAATGATTCACGACAATTGTGACGCAAATCAAATTATATGTCTTTTTAAATATTCGTCAATTCATGATGACGAAAACATTTAAAGTTCTTGTACAAAAATTAAATTTAGAAACTTAAAAAAAAATTATCACATATTGATATATTAATTCTAAATTATTAACTAGTAAATATATAAATAATAAATTAACAAAATAATATTTAGATATTAAATTATTTGGTTTTATTTTTTTTTTTTAAATTTATAATTCCATAGAAACAAATTTATTTTATTTTTACTTTTCAAATTTAAAAAAGTAGAAAAGTTTTAAAAATACGAGAATTATCAATACCATTTTTATGTATTGTTCACCAAGTAGGACACTTACTAAAATGGAAACTATAATATTACCTATTGTGTTATGCCCTGAAGCATAAAGATTTGTTACCGAATAGAGAAATAGATCTTTTTAGTAGAGGGAAAAAATATTTAAAAAAAAAAAAAAATTGCCCCAGTAACATTCATTATAACATTTAAATAACTTTGAAATCGAAAATGAAAACTTGAACGGCAAATTTCATTATACGACTTTTGTTGAGAATTAATTATTTATGCTTACAGACATTTTTAACGAGTACTTTTTCTCATGGACAAGCATTTTAATCCCCAAAGGAAATTATGCACATAATGTGGAGAGCTGTTTTTTCAGCAGCAAAAGCGTGTTTTCAGATATATTTTTTTTTTCCGAATAATTAATTAACTCCCAAAGCCGACGTTAATTGAAAACTCGTATAGATAAAATTTTTTTTAATCAACTCATCTATTCGTCACTTAAATTATGTCATTTACTCAATAAAAAAAAATTATGATACAACCGCTAGTAAAATAATACAAAAAAAAATTATCTCTTTAATTCGCTATTTTTTAATCTGAAATTAATTCTCACTATAAATTAATAAAAAAAAAAGAAGTTCACATAAATTATAAATATCAATTAATAATTAAATTTATATTAGTAATAAATTATTAGTAAAAAAAAAAAAAAAAATTTATAAAAGTAAATGAATTAATATTGTAATAAAAAAAAAAAATTCAATTTTTATAGATAAATTTTGTAATTTCAGAAATTGCAAGGGATCATCTTCATAGAATGGGTACACATATCGTGGTGGGTGGTGTTATCTCTCCGGTACATGAATCATATTCAAGAAAAGAATTAACATCTTCATCGCATCGATTAGCAATGTTAAGATTAGCCCTAGAAAATAATGACTGGATACGCCTTAGTTCATGGGAATGTCGGCAGAATTCTTGGTCAAAAACAAAAATTAGTTTACAGCATCATCAAAATTTATTAAATTCAATTTTATCCGAGGTAAACGATGTTAAAAATGGTGTTGATATCGAGGACTTGGACTGGATACCGGAGAGTATTAATAATGACTTGGATTCCACTCCGATTGAAATTAAACTGCTTTGTGGAGCTGATCTCTTGGAAACTTTCACAATTCCTGGAGTTTGGGCAGACGAAGATGTAAGATTAATTTCAAAAGATAAATTGAAATTATTTTATCCAATGAAAATTTAATTTATTCACATTTATTTTTCTTAATCAAGTAAATTTTTTTTTTAAATTTATATTTATATTTTCTTTGCAAGCTTTTTTTTCAGGCCTCGGATTATACGACTTTTTCGACTTATTTTAATAAAATGCGACTTTTCGACTTTTTTTTACATTAAAAAAAAAAAAATTTGAAACAAAATACGTTTTTTTTTTTAGTATACAATGCAGATATTTTTCAGATATTATGTATTTTAATTATTTAACAAATTTTAACTAAAATTCTTCACTAAATTAATTATTTTTAATAATTTTAATGAAATTCTTCACAAATTAAATTTTCTAGCAAATAAAATTACCAAAAAATTTTAATTCAGAAATTTAATTATTTGCAAATATTTCAATTATTTTTAATGATTTTTATAATATTTTTCGAAAATTCAACTATCTGAAACCATTTTTCATTTAAAAAATTTTTTAAATTATTGTATTTTTTTTCTGCAATTTCTAATAAATTTTTTACTAACAGACATCATAAAAAATTAAAAATCACTTGAAATTAAATTAATTTCAAAAATTCATAATTGTAAATCTTTGAAAATTCAATTAATTTTAAAAAATATTATCTAAAATTATTTGATAAATTATTTTTAGTTCTGTAAAATTTAATTATTGTCTGAAAATTAACAAAATCTTTTAAAATTCAATTATTTCTAAAAATTTCAACTTTAACTCTTTCAAAATTATTATTTAAAAAAAATTTTTATTTAAAAATCTGTACAACTTGATTAAGTATTGTCTGAAATTTTTTTGACTATCAAAACTAAAAACTATGACAAAATTTTTAATTCAAATAAATTGCTTAAATCAGACTTGAAAAAAAATTATAAAAATTAAATTTTAAGAATTTTTTTTAATTTGTCTTATTTAAATAAAATTTTGAAAATTTTTCTTACAATTAGTTCGATTTCTGAAATATTCGAAATAAATTTTCTTGATAATATTTTTATTGAATTATTCTCATTACAGAATTAATAAAATGAACTTAATATCTAATTACATTAAGTAGTTATTTAGAGTAAAATATTTATGAACTAATTAAATTTTGTTAAAATAAAAAAAATCGAGTTTTTCGACATTTTTTGGAATATAAATCAACTAAAACGACTTTTTTTGTTCCTTAAAGTCGATCCGAGGCTAATTTTTTGAAAAAAATAAATTTACAGAAAAAGTCAATAAAATAGTTTTAACAATTAAAATTCTAAACGTTCAAATGAACGAAATCTATTTTAGTTTATAAATATTTTAGAAATTACTACAGCAGTGAAAAATAAAAAAATACATTAAACCTTTATAATTTATTTTTGGATACAAAAAGCGATATTTTATAATGAAATTTGAAATTAAATTTTATCTCTTGAAAAATATAAAGACCCTATAATATTATCATTTGTGTTTTTTTTTCAGGTCGAAACAATAGTTGGTCAACATGGATTGGTCGTAATTACAAGAGAAGGTTCAAGTCCAAATAAACTTATTTACGATTCGGATATACTTTCGAAAAATATGGTGAGTATTTTTTAGCGACCATTATGTAAGAAAATAAAAATCAATAAACGATAGATAGGTCACATCAGCTTTACCCAATTGCAGCATAATATAATCGTCGTGACTGAGTGGATACCAAATGAAATTAGTTCCACTAGAATCAGAAGAGCGTTAAGAAGGAATGAAAGTGTAAAATATTTATTACAAGATTCCGTAATTGATTACATTTATCAGCATGGAATTTATGGTGCCAAAAGGACGTCTTCAATGTGAGTGTTTTTTTTTTTTTTATTGAAAATAAATAAAAATAAAAATACATTTTTAATTTTTCAAATTTTGTACAGAGAATAATGTGACTATGATTAATTTTTTTGTTTTAAGGCGTGTTTATCTTAAAATCATGTTTATAGGTATATTTAATACCTCTAAAATTTCAATTTCTCGAAAGCTTTTAGAGGTAATAATTCTTTTTTTATCTGCACAAAAGTGTGTTATTATCACATGCAAAAAAAAAAAAAAAAAAAAAATTCCATTAGTCTTCTATTTTGTATTAAATACTCAGCGATAAATTTTATAATATTTATTATTTACACAGTTTATTGCAAATAAAAATGGTAGTTTTTCACAATATACATTTTTCAGCACTTTTTCGTTAGGAAAAAAATTAAAGACGATTTTATTAATAAATGGAAATATTGGGATTAGTAAAAAAAAAAAATAGTAAATTTATCAATTTCTTAATTTGTAAAGATTTAAATCAGGGCTGATAAAAAACTAAATTTAAAAAAAATCCGATTTTATTTAACTCTGATTTCTCTTTATTTACGTAGCATTTAAAAAAAAAAAGTTATTTATTTTTAATCGTGTTCTTTAAATATTTGATTCTCTTTTTCTCTCCTTTTTCATGCCATCAATGTTTGGATTAAAAAGTAAGTTAAATTTGTCTTCGAATATTGAAATGAATGTATTGCACAGTGAATCAGAATTTTTAAGTGCTTTTTTAACACCATCGCCCATTGATGTACTCATGGAAAGTCCTGTCGATAATTTTCCAATTAATTTACCATTATTAAAGTCAATCAATGAAAATCCAAATGACTCCGAAATACAAGTAAATGAAAAATTTATGAGTATATTTTCCGAGAATGGAAATGATTCTGTGCCAAATTCAAATATTATTTATCCCGATTTGTCTCAACAAGTCGTTGTCGTTGCCAATGAATCGGAAGATTCACAAATTATTGATGAGGTAGGTTCCAGTCAATATATCGAGAACGTTAAAATTATTGGCTCGGATAGAAAATCATCATTAGAGCACACGCACACTATTGATAATAATTTTAAAGTAGATTATTCAAATTTAGTTTCCACTACACCAACATTAATTCCTCTTGACAATGTTATTAGCACATTTAGTAATCCCCTAATTCGAAAAGACTCGGGAGATAAACAAATTAGAAAATCCATTATATCGGAGAACAAGGAAATAGTTATTGTTTCATCGAGTGACAATTCTTGTGATATAGAATATATATTGTCACGTAATATTCATAATACAAGTAAAACAACATCCGAAACAATGGAATCAACCAAAGAATTTGATCGTAATCGTTATGAAGAACAAAAAATTGCCAGCATTAAACCAATTGTCAGTAGCAATATCAAGGAGGAAAACAAACACTGCCTAAAGACTGATATTGAAAATGAAAAACAAAGAAGTTTTGGACAAGTTGTTAATTTTAAAAAACTTAATAAAACACGTGGTACACAAACACAAAATAGTGACAATGAAATTGAAAGTCACAAGGAAATTGGTTTAACTGAAAGTGAGACTGAAGATTCTGAATTTTCTCAAATGGAAACATTTCACACAAAACGTGGTGAAACCCATCTCGAAATAGATGGCAAGTACCTGAAATCATTAGTCAATTCTAAAAAAAGTCCAAAAAAAGTGAAACTCGATGGCAAATTAAAAACAATTGAACATCAAAAATCCGATGAAACAACATCGGAAGGCGATCAAAGTATTTATGAAGAATCAAGAGAAGTATGGTCAAGTCCTGATTCAAAGGCAAAAACAATTAATATAAAAAATGATAATTTTCGTATTATCAATAAAGATGTGAATAATGAGAAAAAAACAACAAATCTCCTACAAGGAAGTCTCGATTCATTTGATATTAAAAAATCAATAAACGAACATAAAGTATTTGAATCAATGGCAAAAAAATCAAGAAGTTTGGAATTAATAAAAAATAATTCCCTATCATTAAAATCGCCATTAACATATTCAAATACAAAAATAATTTATGACAATGAAATAAGACCAAAATCAGAATCAACATTTCAACTCGTCACTGGTAATAATTTTGACGATCAGACTGATAATTTTTGCTCTGAATGCTATATTGCAAATGATCCATCATCAACGGAATTATTTTACACAATACGTTCAAATTGTAGTTCACCACTTGAGGATTCAACAGAGTGTGATATTTGTAGTTCGTGTAATCTTCCCGATTCGGCTGATATTTTGGAATTTAAAATGTTACCAAAAAGTAAATCAGTGTGTGAAGTTTGTGAAATATGCGGTGAACCGGCAATTGAATATGAGGAAGATACATCAAAATTGGAAAAACCGGATATTGTCAGTCGACGTGTGACCGCATTAAAATCATTGCATTTGAGTTTACCAAAAACAAGTTTTGAATCAGATGAGGAATTGATTTCACAATCAAATCGAATAACATTAGAGGAGGAACGATTTGAAATTGAAAATTGTGGTAATAAGAAAATTGAAGAAAATGAAGGGGAAATTTTTGATAATAAAAATATTGAAGAATCAATTTCGAGAATTGATTTTCAAGGACCTGATTTTTTTGTACCAAAAGATGAAGTTATTATGTTGACGGAAAATTCAAAGAGACTCAGTAGAAAAGGTTCATTTCTTCGTAAGACATCAGATCGTCATCATCAGGAGAAGAGACGTTATTCATCGGCTGATAATTTACAGCATAAATTATTTTCCAAAGGAAATGATCGATTTTTAAAATCAAAGGATATGAAACTTATGGCATCGGCTGATAGTATTCGTCCAATGAAACATTTTCGAAGTCGTTCACTGCGACGAATGTCTGACAATATTGGACGATCTGATTCATCGAATGATAATTTGGATCGTTTAGATGAGCAGGCGGATAATGATGAAGATGGAACAAAGGAAGATATTCCCGGTCCCGATGATATCAAGAGGAAAGATAGCGATTCTCTTGAAACAATTTTATTGAAGCATGGAATTAAACTTATTAGTCAGAAAGAGACTGTTTTATAATTAATTTGATTCAATTTTTCAGATTAGTTGTCGAATATTTACTTGAAAAAAAAAAAATTAACTTTTTTGATATTTCATTTTACAGTTTATATGTGAGGCGTTTTGAAGAAAGGGACCGAAGAAACAAAAAAAAAATTATAGGTTATGTCTCAATGCAACTAATAATATAATTAACATTACTTTCAATGAATTAAAGTTTCATTACATAATCAATAAAACCTGATTTTTTTTTACATAAATTAATAAAAAGGAACTTTTAATCAAAATAAAACTATCTTAAACATAACCTATAATTCGTTTGCTTCTTGGGTTCTTTTTTCCAGAGCGTGTCACATATTTCCCCCCCCCCTAAATTTTATATATTTGAGAAATAGTTTTTATTGCAACTACAAAGAATTGTCAAGAAAAAAAGAAGATATGATCATTCTTATACTAAAAAAAAATATTTACCAGCAAAATTTTTAAATTTTGCTCCACGAACATTTTTCTCAAGAAATGTTTTAATTTTATATTAAAACAGTAGACACTTCGCACCGATGTTAGAATAGTAGGATAAGCAAATAAAAAAATTGTTCTTCATTTTCATTAAAAAAAAAAATTAAATTAAATTCCAGCATCAAAATTAAATAGATTAGGTACATAAAATTAAAAATTTAATTTTTAACTAAAAATCATTTTTTTACTTCTTATATAATTAAGGAGAATGGTGATGCGTAACAAAAATTTAATAAAAATTAATTTCAATAATTTTTGAAAGATATAATTCTCCATTTTTTGGAAAAAATAATAAAATCTTTTGTAAAATAATGATTTTTAACATTTTTTTTCTTTTTTCTTTTACCTTCAGACAAAAATTTTAATAATTTATATCCAATTTTTATAAACAATGGCTTATTTTGTTAGAAGAAATTTTTAATTCTTTTTTTGATAATATAGATTAATAAATTTCACAAAGTCTTTTATGGTTGTTATAAGGCCTTGTAAATTTTTTTAATCAGTAGCTCATTTTGATTAATAAAACATTTTCTATAATTTTTTTAATGTTGTTAAAAGTAAGTTGTTAAAAAATTATCTAATATAAACAATTTGACTTTATTTTTATTGTAGAGAATATTTAAATGAGGAAAATAAGCTATTTTTTATAAAAATTTGATAAGAATTACAATTTTTCTCTGACGAGCTGAAAGAAAAAAAAAATTAAAATAATAAAAATTCATTCATTCATTATTTCTGAAAAGTGAATTAATTAAATCTTCCAAAATTATATTTGAAATTCATTTTTTATTTGTATTTATTCTTTTGAAATAAAAACCATTTTTTAGTTTGAGGTTATGTTACGATAATAATATTGTATTAATATTTTAAAAATAAATAATATAAAAAAAAATTTAATGAAAAACTGTTTAATAAACTTTTTTTGTATTATTTATTTTTATAAAAATGTTAAACAGTTTTCAATAAACCTTTATATTCATAAATAAATAAACATTTTACAAATAAATGAAAGAAAATAAAAATATTTTAAAACAAACATTATTTTTGAATTTAAAATACATTTTTAATTTGTTTTTAAATTCATTAACTGAAAATTCAGAAAATATTTTCTATCTACTAAAAATTAAAATTCTTAATAACTTAAAAAAAAATTTTTTCTAATAATTTTAAAAACTTTTTTTGATCACATTAAGAGTAAAAAAAAAAATAATTTTTCGTTAAAAATGAATTGTTTTTCAATTTTATGTGATTATTGTTATTATTCTTGCAATTTTTTAAAATTATTAAAAAGAAATTACATTCATAAAAATTTTTTTAATTGATTTTCTTTTTGTTATTTTTAGTTTTCAAAATTTTTTTCCATTTTGAATGTAGAAAATAAAAATTAAATGTTTAAAGTTATTTTAAAAAAATTTTTAAAAACGAAAAAATTAACCAAAAGATTTTTTTTTTTTCGGTCAACTCTATTTGTGTAGCAATTAAAACCATTAACGCGATTCAACAGTAAAAAAAAAGTAGATGATAATAAACACACTAAAGACTTAAAAAAAAAATCGAATATGTATTAAAAATAAGATAAATATAACGATGGAATATTTTCGACATTTGAGTATCCGATCGTGTTGAAATATATGAAAGCCAAAACAGTGCCAAATATAATTAGGCTTACTGTTAGAAACTCAAAGTAACATTATTAAAATTTATAACTAAAAAAAAAAACCCAAACCGACAATCTAATATGTCAATATCGCATAATTATAAAAAAAAAAAATATGCACAGAGTGGTATATATCAGAAATTATTATTATTATAATAAATGTCGGTTGTAATTTCAATTTAAATTATTATAAATAACTTTTTGACGGTGAGAGAAGAAAAAATCCGTCAAATGCTAATAAAACATGTCTAAAATTCAGTATTAAAAAAAAAATTTAGAAATAAAAAAAATTATCTAATTCGAAATATTAAGTATTATAGATATTATGTGTTTATTAGGATGGAATGAAATACCTATATATATATAAATAAAATGTCAAGAGGAAGAAAATTTTGTCATTTTTTGGTGAAAGACGAAGTTTTTTTTTTTAAATACAAAAAAAAGGCAAAATTTGATTCTCCAATATATGTGTATTGTCTTTCTGTAATATAGACAAAATTTCTCAAATTAATATTTGAATTTTCACTCCGTCCTAGTATTAATACAAAAAAAAAAAAAAATTACATTATATATAGGTATATAATTAAAAATATAAAATAGTTAAAGATAAATAAAATTTATCGTCGTGTATAAAGTTTCTTTATTGAGGAGTTGAAATTATTGTAATAAGGTAGATATTTTTTAGAAATTAGAAATGAAGCTTTAAGAACTTTAAAAGTTTCCTCAATTCTATTTAGAATGAAACATTCACCTATAACAAAAATTTACAAGTTATATAATTTTTTAAAAAATATTTTATTGAATTTAAAACGAAAATTTCATCAATTTTTTATAATTATAAATAAATATCAAAATAATTAATAATAATAAAACTTATTAAAATAATACTAATAATAATTATTATTATTATTATTATAATTATTATTGTTGTTGTTATTATTATTATTATTATTATAATTATAGAAAAATAATAATTTAAAATTGATGTTATTTTTGTTTGTTTAAATTTTGTTTTGCTGACATTTTGAAATTTAATTTTTCTAAATAAGGCTCACAATATATTTTCAGTAAATTATTGATTTTTGGATAATACAAACAAATAATCAAATACACAAAAACAATTTCGATTTTTTATTATTATTATTATAATTGTCTATGTACTTTACAAATATATGAAAATAATTAGTGCATGAAATTCTTTAAATTTGAGCTAGTTAATTTTTGAAATTTAAAAATAATTATCCTTTCTGTCATTTATAACTTATTCTTTTATTTTTTGGCATGAAATGGCGTGTATTGTTATAAATAAATAAAAAATAGCTTATTATAAAAAATTAGAAGAAAATATTCATGTTTCTTTGATGAAAAACAAAAAAAAAAAAAAAAAAAAAAAAAATAGTAAAAATGCTTAAAGTTTTAGAAAAGCTGTGCTTTTTTAAAAACAATACGATTTAATGCAATATTGTAATGTTTTGCGTGTGCGTGCCTTTCTCTATTTTCTATAAATGATGTCATAGATAGAAAATTTCTCATCAACGTTACAATTATCTTGTCTCCGTTTATAAATCCATAAATCCAATTTTTAGCTTATTTCTTCTATATAGTGAAAATGTTATGTCCCTTTTGTCAGTTTTATTGTTGTTTATCTAAAACATGTTTGTTAGTCATTAGTAATTGTTAGTTTTTAATCTTATCCTTGCTTTCTGATTGATGTTTTAATTTTTACTTTTATTATTTATTTTCTTTTTATTTTCTATTTATTTTTTTATCATATATTTTTTTTTACAATTTATAAATGTTTAATATTTATATGTTACATATATATTTATTGTTAGATAATTAGTATATTTTTAAGATTCCAGTTTGAATTTTAGTTTTCATTAAACAAATTTTCATTTTTTGCTGACAGTTTTTTTTTTTTTTTTTTTTTTTTTATTTTGTGCCAAACTTATATCGTCCGATATTTATCACTCAGAAATAATATAGGAATTTGTTAATGTTTTTCCGCAAGACATATTTTTCTAAATATTTTTTTATAAACTTCTCTCCGAAAATAATAAATGCTTGGATAATTTAATTATTATCATCATTATCATCAGAATAAATATATAATAATAATAATATGTAAAAGATTTGGGCATAAAATGTCATATTTATTATATATATATAAGTATAAAACTATAAATAAGAAGTAAAAAACGAGTTAAAGAGTACAAAAATAATTAAAGAATTGTATTTCTCCATATTATACTAAAATAATAGTTCTCAAAAAGAGTTGCAATATTTTGCCCGCATAAAAAGTATTTATTAAAAATAAATCTTATTATCCGCATTAAGCAATTTAAAACAAATAGAAATTTTAAATAAATCTTTAGATTCATTTTTATGCATGCTCGCTATAATATTCTCGTAAATAAGGTGGGCAAAAAAAAAAAAAAATAAAATATATTTACACAAATTTTACAATACTAGAAAAAAATATCATTAAGCATTATTCAAGTAGAGAATAATATAAACAATTTAAGATAATTTATTTTCTATGCTAACTTTGATTATTATTAATCAAATAAAAAAGTTCATATCCAATATTTTGCCCATCTTAATAAACTTTGTCTTGCCATCAATTTTATTCCTGAGAAAGAAGAATTATTTCATATTTGATAAAAAAAAAATCTCAATTTTAATAAATAAGAATTAAATTAATTTATTGTAAGAAATAAATCAGTGATTTTGTACTTAAAAGTAAAAAAAAAAATATTCTTAACAAATGTTACGTATATTATTGACAAAAGTTTCGTACAAGAACTGAAATTGTTTTCAAAAATTAATCTGAAGGAATTTTTTATTTTTTTTTATTACTTCTTCATTCGTGTATTAATAAACTTATTAATTTTAATCCGAGGCTCATCCGGATTCAAATTTTCATTTTCAATCATCTATATATCCATTCATCCAAGTTCTTCTCGTAACTTTTGTCAGAATAAACGATTATACGAATAATTTCTTTTTCAAATGGAATATTAACTGCGAACATGAAAGACTGAATTCTATTAGTTCCGCTTTTCAATTTTTATTTTTTTCATCGAAAAAAATTTCTAGCAATATTTTTTATCAACAGTTTAAAGGAGAAAAATATTTTTCACAAATTTATAATAAATTCAAATAAAAAGTTTTAGACTAAAAATTTGTAAATAATTTATAAAGTAGATTTTTATTAATATTAATAAATTAAAAGTAAATAGAAAAACTTTTTTTTGAAATTGAATAATTTTTTGAGAGAAAAATTGCATAACAAAAAAAAAAATGTACAATATTTTTTTTTCAAGTACTTTTGGATTGTTGATAAATTGAAATTGTTTTCGATGATTGAATATTTGTTTTTTTTTTTTTATTTCGAAAATTCTTGTTTTGAATGAGATTGTGCATAAGATGTTGGCGTTTCTGATCAGCATGTGATATGTGTTTTCCAGGGTACAGCAAAACCTGCATGCCTACTGTAAGACAGATAGTTGACTGTCTTGTCGCTGCTCGTCCTATGCCCATTCGATGCGGCCCCTGCCTTTCTGCTAAACATATTAATCATGCTACTAACAATTGTAGTAATTGCGACGACAACGTACACATCTTCAACAACCTCAAAATCCTTCATGATAATGATAAAGACAATATTAAAAAAACAGTTAAAACCAAATACCGTAAAAACGGTCATAGCATAGATTCTCTAGAAGTGTCTCTCAAAGTTCGAATTTAGCCAAAAAAAAAAAAAAAAAAAAAATCTATCTCACACGAGTTCAATTATTATCTTCATCACTATACACAATAATTAATAATTATGTTTTCATTTTTGAAAATTAGTAAAGTTTTTAATTTCGGATTAAAAATTTTTTTTTATTATAAATAATAAAATATTTTTAAATATTTTCAATATTTCAAATAAATTTATAATAATAAATATTTATTATTGTAAATATTTTTATTATAAATAAATTCTGTTTTTATTCTTTCTTTCTTTTTTTCTGTTTTTACTTTTAAAAAAAAGGAAATATTTTCTCTAATTTTTCTTTTTTGCATAAAATGTCGAAATTCTAAATTGAAATTTAATCTATGAGATATAAGTAAAATTTTAAAAAGATTTTAATTCAAAGTAGATAAAATAAAAAAAAAAATTGAAACATAATTATTGTGACATTATTTGTTTTGCTTCTTTATAGAGGAAAAAGAAATAAAAAGAGCTACAATTTTTTTTTTAATTTTTCGGCCTGTAAGGAGGAAAAAAATTTTTTTTTATACTTTAAAATTTTAAATTATCATAACTATATTAAAGAGTATTTAAATAATCGGTATCAAAAGTACACAGTAATAATAAAAAAAAAATAATTTTTAATTTGTTATTTTGTACATACAATTTTTTTATATATATAAAATAACAAGTTTAAAAAATATGTTATGTATAAAATAACAAATTAAAAAAAATATTTCTTATGTAATAACTAACAAATTGAAAACAAAAAAATAACAAAGTAAAATAATTAAAATAACAATAGCAAAAAACATTGAATTTAAAAATAACAATATTTATGTCTTTTTGAATCTAAAATTTTTATACAAATTTTTGAATAGTTTTGATACCGACCAAAATTTTTTGAAAAATCAAAAAAAAATTTTAAATCGAAATTTTTGGACGGTTTTTATGTTTTTAAAACAAAAATTGTAATCTCTATGAAGGTAGCAAAGTTTTCATGAAATCGACGCCTCCCGTTGATAAGATGCCCGTTCATTTGTCAGAATAATAAAATGCCAACTCGAGCTCAGTTCAATATGAAGCTAGTTCAATTGTCAAAATAATAAAAGGCTATCTCAGTTTCAGAATAATATAATCCTATCTCGCATTAAATTCGAATTCAAGTTTTCGTAAATTAAAAAAAAAGTTTAAGTCGATCAGAATATTAATTCATACTTTTTAATGATTAATTAGTGATTAATAATTATTAATAAAATAAGAAATAGAATAAAAAACAAATAATAAAATAAATGAAAATAAAAAATATTATTAAAAAAGAAAAAAATTAATTTAGCCTTGAATTATTTATTAATTATTACTAATATTATTTTTTTTATTATAATTTTTTTATTAATTTTTTTATTTTGTTAATCATTAATTAATCATTACAAACTATTAAATAATATTCCGATCGAGTTAAAAATATTCAAGTTTTCGTAAAATAAAAAATTTTTAACTCGATCGGAATATTATTTAATATTTTGTAATGATTAATTAATGATTAACAAAATAAAAAAATTAATAAAAAAATTATAATAAAAAAAATAATATTAGTAATAAATAATTCAAGGCTAAATTAATTTTTTTCTTTTTTAATAATATTTTTTATTTTCATTTACTTTATTATTTGTTTTTTATTCTATTTCTTATTTTATTAATAATTATTAATCACTAATTAATCATTAAAAAGTATGAATTAATATTCTGATCGACTTAAACTTTTTTTTTAATTTACGAAAACTTGAATTCGAATTTAATGCGAGATAGGATTATATTATTCTGAAACTGAGATAGCCTTTTATTATTTTGACAATTGAACTAGCTTCATATTGAACTGAGCTCGAGTTGGCATTTTATTATTCTGACAAATGAACGGGCATCTTATCAACGGGAGGCGTCGAAATGATGAAAATTTATTTTCTTTAGCTGAAAATGAAAGAATAATTTTTAATTATTGTGTAGTAATGACGCACACTTGCTTTATATTGACATAAAAGTAAATTAAGTTTCAACAGTTTTTGGCAAAAAATTTATTTTTGAGCTTAAAAAAAGTAGAATTTTATTATTTTAATTAATATTAATAATTTTACTACTACATTATGACTATTTTTACGCATAGAGTACACTGAGAAGAGAAAAATATTCACTTTTGTCAAAAAAAAAAAAAAGAAACAAATTGCTATTTGTATAAAAAAAAACATTTCTGATACAAATAACGAAATTTGCATTTTTTTTTTGTCAATAACAAATATATTTTACTCATTGCACAATTATCTGGCGATTTTGAAATATTTTTAGTTTCTGATAATTTTAATATTAGATGCATGAAATATATAATAACAGTTACATTAGAAACATTAAAATATCAATAAAATTTTTGATATTCTGATTTAATGCAAAAAAAAAGAAAGAAAAACTCATCTAAAAACTCCAAATTAATTTTATTTGCTTCAATTTCACATGTACCTGCGAATAATTCTAATTTTATTTATTAAATTTTTATTTTTAAACTCTTAGATAATATTTAAAATAACTATTGCAAAAATTAATTACTGGAATGAATATGTTAACATCTTGACGGTAAAGAAAGGATCTATATTTATTTTTTGTATAAATAAAGCGGATTGACTAAAATACTTATTTTTTGAAAGTATTTAAAAATTAAGCTACATCAGAACGTTTTAACGTTCGAACCTGTCTTCAATATTTCAATTAAAAATCATAATGTATACTTCCCCCTATTAAAAAACACACTTTCAATTTAGATATTTATGTGAAACTAGGTATTTTAATTTTACCCTGAAATTCAGATGAAAAAAAAAAAAAAACATTTGAAAGTCTTCACCAGTGGTACAATTCTAAAATTTCTCATTTTTTCAATGTCTACAAGATCTAGAGTGCACTTATATCAAATGTTTTAAAAGAAGAATTATATAAGGAAAAAAAAATTAACTATTATAATCTATATAATAGAGACGTTGTAAATTTAGAATTGCTTGAAACGACAAATAATAATAATGAAATATTTCGCATTTACAATCATTATTTCACGGCTGGTTTATGTTTAGCTGTAAGTACAGAAATGTTCGTAGACTGATAAATCTTTCTTAATTGCCAAATATTAAAGTTAAAATAAAAAAAAAAAAAAAAAAAAAAAAAAACGAATGTAAACATTTTAATTAATGTCCTCGTTATTGTTTTTAGATAGAATTAAAATAACGAAAAATATTATATTAATGTGTGACGTAAAGTTATTACACTGAAAAAAATATTTTTACTTAACATATATTATAAAATATTGTTTCTTTTTAACTGAAACGAATCGAATATTGTTTCATTGAAATAAATTTTAAATGGAAAATAAAATTTTTATTTGAATTTGAAATAAATAAATAGTTATTTAACTCTGTGACAAATATAATTTTATTTAATTTAAATATAAAATAAAAAAAAAATATTTCTCTTTTACTACTGATACCAAAAAAAAAAACAACTTTTAATGTTTGATTTATCTTTACTACTGAAAGCAAAAATATAATAGAATTTAAAATATTTTGACTAAAATTGTTTTTTTACTACATTGATTTAAAAAATCAATTTTTAAAAGTAAAACTGCAAGAATATTTACATTGTTTCATCTTTAAATGATACCGATTTTTACTAATTTTTTTGTATTTAAAAAATATAATTAAAATAATTCGTTGTTGTCAATGTAAAATATTTTTTTGAGTGTAAGAAAAAAATGTACTACAGTTCAAAAAGTTCATTTTAAGTTATAATATAGAATACAGCATTGTACATGTTTGTATTATAATAATTAATATAAATAGAAAAAATATACATAAAAATATGAAATGTACTTCGAATGAAAATAAATTATATTTAACGTCGATGTTTGACGTTTGCTGTAAATTAATGGTCAATATTTATTTCGACAGAAATTCCAAAAAGAAATTCAAATTTTATTTTAAAACTAGCAAAATTAAACGCGCGTAAGCGCGCCAAATTGAGTATTTAATTGTTTGTTATAAAGAAATTAATTATTAATATTACCAATAATAATTTAATTTATTAGAATATTATTACATATTAAATGATAATAATGAAAATTATATGTTTACAGGCCACGGATTATACGACTTTTTCCGACTTTTTTCAAAAATACGACTTTTATCGACTTATTTTAATAAAATGCGACATTTTTTTTTACATTTGAAAAAAAATGTAAATAAAATACATTTTTTTAGTATAAAATGTAGATCTTCTTCAGATCTTCTTCAATTCAATTATTTAACAAATTTTGAACTAAAATGATTCTTCACTAAATTAATTATTTTTAATAATTTTAATGAAATACATCACAAATTCAATTATATCAAAATTATTTTTCAATTAAAATTTTTATGAAATTTAACAATTCTTTATAATTAAAAAAAAAATATCACAATAAAATTGAATTATTTTTTAAAAATTTCAATTCAAAATAAACTAAAATTCAATTATTACCCAAAATTTTAATTCAAAATCAATTAAAAATCCAATAATTATCCAAAATTTTCAATTTAAAATTTTATTCTTTATTTATTTTATTTATTTATTTATTTATTTATACTTGTTTATGCATTATAATAATGTTTACAAGAGGATTCCGCTCGTGAAAAAAAAGATACAAAAACATGTTACATAGTAAAATTTAAAACAAATTATCTATCTTGACATTCCGACAAAACTTTCTTAATTAAAAAGACAAAGGTCTTAATTACAATAAAGTTCTTTGACGATAACACATCCAACCAGAAGTCTCCGCGGTCAACATTTCTCAGCGCAGGAAATT